CCACCTGCGGTACGACCCGCGCTAGCTTTGCTCGGAAACGCTGTATCAATCCGTAACGTCCGGCCCATCCTGGGTAGGCTTCGACAAGCCGCCGTTGCGTGCACCTTGTTCTGCTCTGCTTCGGGGCACACAGTGGTGGCAGCACTTGCCCGAGCGACAGAAGGGAGTAGTGGCCGAATGGTTAGGGCCACCCTGTTCCTCGTCAGTGAGCGGTCTTGGATCCCAGCTGCCATGACCTCTGGGCGTCAATGTGCAATAGCGGCCAGGCGCACGGCATGTTCTACCGCAGAACACTGCCGGCGCGATGGGAGCAGCCTCCGAGCTACCGATAGTGGAGCGACGCACTGCGCTCTTTGCGGGTGTGAACGGAAATCCCTAGCGTCCATTGCAGGTAGTAGCGCAGGCAGGGGCGGGGGGGGGGGGAAGCACGTGTCTCCCCCCTTGGTGTTCTGAGGAGGATAACTCGGAACCGACGATTAAGGTCTTATTTGAGGGCTACCCGAAAGGCTGGCCAGAGGTCGTATTCAGGGGATCCGGCTCGCTTGGCACTCCAATGCCAGCCAGAGAGTCTTTTGCACCGATCAGGGCTCCAAGAGTCGATAAGGGCCTATACATCGGTCAGACAACACCAATACCGCGCAGTCGACTCCGTGTCAGCATGGGCCTGGAGACCCATTTCCCAAGCAGGGACAAAGCCGGGGCCAGGGATTTACGCTGCTCGGGGCTCCAGCGTCTGTCAGGGGTCCACAGTGCCTAACAGAGGGTTCTGTGTTGGCAAGAGACCCCGAGCCGGCCAGAGGCAGTGCTCGAGGAGGCCGGAAGAGAGCCTGGAGAGCCCACCGGGACCAGCGATCGAGGGCAGATTGGAGGGCCTAAGAGCACGAAAAGGCCAGTCGGAGTCTTTCCTCGCGTCCAAGGTCTGCGGAGACGGGCCTCAGATAACAGTGGAATGGTCCCTTGCACTGACTAGGGAGCCCTGAGTCGATAAAGGCCTGCATGTCAGCCCGGCAATACCAGAACTGCGCGGGTTAGAAGGCCTACCGCGTCAGGGAGGGGACCATTTTGATATGATGCATCTATCTATGCGCCTCCGGATCGACCAGGGGACCCCACCACGTATCGCCAGAATGGCAGCAAAACGACACCCTGCACCGGTACGAAATGACCCTTCAGCCCTTGACCGGAAACGATGATGTGCCTCCTAGTGCTCTACCCAATGAGTCCCTTTCCCGAAACAAAGTTAATTTAGAATGAAGCAGGTCGAAAGGAAATAAAAAAGACCGGCCCATGTTTACCCAAGAACGTTGCTTTTTTGCGGAACAAAATAGCGAAACAAACTACATCATAAAGGTTTGCAACAGACAGATTGAACAGATTGAAGAAACAGCGATGACCGGGGTTACAGTTTCCGCAAAACTGAGCGGCTTGGTCACTGCAAGTAACAATAAGATGCGGGTGCCGTGCGCGCGAGAGCCACCGTCGTTCAGCCTTTTCTGTTGTGAAAGCTTTCGAAAGCCTTTCAAAATAAATCATACCATACACAGATTAGACAAGGGCGAGCCCTTTTCAGTTTTGAGGCTGTGTTCTGAACGGATTAACACATACAGCAACACGGAAAATCGAAATCCTGTTTCATCTTTTCCTCATCGAACCGTTCACCACCATTTACTATTAGCCATGGGACCGACGCCAAATGGCCAATGGAGACTGTAACGCCGGGCGTCGAGTTTACGAGCGTATATGTTCAAAACTACGTTACTTATTTGTTCTCACTTCTTGACTTTGGCTGAACGTTGGAAATATTCCAGGCGAACATAGATTGACTACGCTTTTACAAATGTTTGACCCATTTCGATATAGGTAGGACTCCTACAACCTACGTCCACGGGGTCCTCAATGTCTGTAGAACCCAAATCAGAATCCGACAAAAATTCTGAGTTCTGTCGGTTTAGAAAAAGCTCAATTAACTATCGTAAAATGACAAGCATTGGAGCTTCCTTCTATGCAGCCGTTTCACACCTGATTTCTTCAGTTTGTTGTCTTCGAACTTCAAATGAATCGATCTCGCAGTAGCTTCTGGTTTCTGTCCCAGTTCTAGAAGACAGGAATAATAGTAAACCAAAGAAAACCGTATACCTATTTAACAAGTGGGCTACAACCATCGCTTTTTTAGTACGAGCCTTTGTCTATTAGAAGGCCTTTTCTCAACGCTGTGCCCGGCCCTTCTCGTCCCTGGAAGCATTCCAGCCTTTTCTGATGACGTCATTAATCAGCTGCTTTGTGACGCATGCAAGCCATTAAAGCCATCAACCCTGCGCTGCCTGTAACCGCGACAAATTCGCCGCTGCATTCGCTGCGTGGTAGGGGTGGTAGGTATGTGTCGTTTGTTTGGACTACGGAAATTTGGTTTTCGCGAAGGTAATGTAGCATTGATAGAGATACCCAAGTAATCACAGCAACATGCTATAAATTTCTCATCGGGTCACGAACTTTACCTTTTTCTGCACATTATTTGACGTTCACAACTTCAGATTGTAATTGGCTCTGAGATGCCACCCAGCCCATATTATGTCACTCCCATCCCGGACAACCAGTTTGCGACACACTGATGCCGTAATTTTTGCTGACTAACTCAGGCCGCTGACAGAGTGGCTTGTATGAAGTGACTCAGTTATAGAATTCTGGCATGCGTACCCACCTGGCTCACACAGTCCTTACAGTGTTTCAGAATTTCACACTACTTAGTTGCAAAACGGTGACCTTGACACAATCCTTATAGACAACGCCATATAGCATAAGTTAACACCAAACCTTTTTGGTTCCATTGTGCAAGGACTTCAAATGAAGCAATAACTTGGCATACTTTGGTATTCAGGAAGATCTGATCCTGTAAATAGTGATCTCTGGCTTGTTCTAAGAGAACTAATATTGGAGAACTGCCATTTAGGCACTGTGTGCCTGGTGGAGCCATATATCAACTCCGATATAATTGGATTGGATGATTTTGCATGATATGCACATATTTTTTGCCATGATTGGCAGTAACTGGCTGAAAAAGTTCCTGCCAGTCAGTTTTGGGTGATTAAAAAATTATGGCAAACCAGAATGCAACAAAGTGTGTTCATGGTAACTCTAAGATAGCAAGACAAACTGTGTGCTTAACATTGCTGATGTTAGTATCATATTTCTGTTAGGTGTTATTCAGCAGATGCATGAAATGGACTGCTCTTTTTACATCACTCAAGTCTGGGAATTCTATAGTGTAGCTAGTCTGGTTGGTGACAGGTGGTCTATTTATGCTTATTTATGCTATCCTGTAGTATGTTAACATGAAATATATACTTGTTAGAAGTCCCTGAAATCAATTTCTGGGAAAGCTGATGCATTTTACAAAAGCTATTTCAATGTGTGTTAACTGTTGTGATGTGGGATGCCCATATAATAATACAAATATATTTTGCAGCATTTTCAAATGCCACATATTGATTTTGTCTCAGACAAAAGTACATAGTGCAATGATATAATTGCAAGGCAAGCTCCAAAACATGTTCTAGACTGGGCCTAAAGACAGGTAGCCAAGTAGGCTCAGCTTGCATGCAGGGCTCGGACAGATTTATGTGCTATAAATGTTAACACAAGTTTATTTGCACTATGTTATGCATCTCAGTAGCTGGGAAATGATAAGGTCCTGCCTCTTGGCAGTATTGCATTAAAACTGATCATCAGAAACAGTGCATGGCCAGTGGTTGCAGGGCGTGGTTGCTGATGCTACTTTCTATATTCTTTGCTATGAGCTCATTATTTTTTAATAGAAACACTGCACATGTTTTGTGTTGCCAACCCAAGTTTAGATTACTCTGTCTCCCTTAGCTTGATATGTTCTTTTTGAAGTTAATATGTGATAACTACATCTTTAACTAAGCCTCTTATGTGAGGGCCTCATATCAACTTCCCTCATATGCAGTGGCGCATGCATCCACATTAATAATGTAAACAAATGCTATTTCACCAATCACATTAATTATCTAAAAGGGCATTGTTTATCAAAATAGGGATACCCTGGACAGCACCAGGTATGCACAATGTTTAGCACATCTGCATCATAATGAGAAAGCATGAAACTTACCGGGCAAACATAGAGTGGTTGTTGAACTGCACGCCATGTGCACCGTAGATTACAGTGCTGCTGTGTCGGTTCCACACTGTAGATTACAGTGCTGCTGTGTCGGTTCCACACTGGCAGCTCACATTATTGATTTGAGGTAGAGTTCTATGGCATTCACAAAGGCCTATGTAGGACATGTATTTTGGTAACAAGGCAGTACTTTTGACTGTGTTCCACATGGACCAAATACCATTTGTATTATGTTTTCATACATCTCTGATTCTTGTGGTTGTCTGCTCAGTGGCCATTAATAATCTGCCTGACTTAACCCTGACCTTGACTTGGCAAGGCCTTTTAATGGAATCATTTGCACCTGGGCTCAGTGAAAGTATGGGTAGTCCTGTAGTCAGCTCTCATCCCACATGGAGTTAGGCACAAGCCTTCACTTAATTCCATGCCACCACAAAGAGATCTTCAGAAGATTACCAGACAAAATGCAAAATGTCTTGAAATTGGCAAGAACTGTGCCAGCACCACTGGGGCTGGAACTTATTGATGCTAACTGAGCTGAGACTTGCTAGTAACTGGTACTGAAACAATAGTTTGACTGACCCTACCTAGCCTTCATGGTGATCGATTGCAGTGGGTTTTGAAGAGAATGACTTCAGGTTTTTACAAAGTAGGTAGAAATCTTACTTTCAGTTGTGTTGCAGTGGCAACACTTCTAGGTGAAGTTTGAGCAGATCATATGCCACTATTTTGTACAATTGGTGGTTTTGTGTGGCAACCCCAAGTGTGTTGCAAATATCATGGAATATTTTGAGACAAATGCTGTGCAATGGACCCTCGGTTCTTCCCTCTCTGTGACTGACGCCAGCCTGGCTTCAGCAGCTGATCACGGCGCCGGACCTGTGGCGATGAGCTGCCGGCTACGCTGACGGCCGCGCAGCTGACGGCCGCGGTAACGCCACCATGGAGTCGCACCCTAGCGACCGCCAGGTCGCCGACTACTTCGTCCACTGCGGCCTGCCCTGGAAGCTGGAGGAGCTGGACGCGCCGCTGGAGGACTTCCCCATCAAGCCGTCCCACAACTACGCCCCCATCACGGACGTCACCGTCATCTTCCCGGCCGAGGAGCCCGTGCCGTCCGGCTTCCGGTGCATCGAGAAAACGCCGACGGGTGAGGATCGGCCGCGGGCTGGTGCTGTGGGCGGGGCCGTCGGCGCGGCGGACAAACGGCTGATGTGAGAGAGGTCGCTGGCGCATGGCACAGCGTGCGTCATACAGCCGTCGTTCGGTCAAGCCGTGCGTCAGACGCCAGCGGCAGGTCAGGGTAACGTGTGAGCTGTTTCAGCTGATGTTTTCGCGGTGTGTATCATAGTGTACAAGCTGGGGCTAACGGCAGAGATTAGGGATGAATGGTGTGGGCTTTGCTCCGCCATTGTCCGTTGCAAGCAGGACCGGGAGGTGCAACAGTGCGTTCATGTTGAACATTGCCGTGAGTTCGCGCTTATGACCAGAGCCAGTATTATGACTGGGAGAAAATGGGCGTCCGCATAAACCGTCGCTGCTGCTGAATGGGGAGAAAGAATGCACGCTGCTTATGTAACTGTGGGTCAGATGGAGAAGTGCAAAATATAATTCTACAGATGGTCTATCATATCTGCCTTTACAAGATTATATTCAGCTGTTTTGGTTTTAATGGTAAAAATTGTCACAACATACTTTTGCGTGTAAGGTGTAAGCTTTTGGTTGTAAATGATCTGATTTGGTAGCTTTGGATTTGCTTGACGTGACTTGATTTGTCGGTCCGCCACAATCACCACATTGCATAATGGATTATGTACCATTCCGTTAATATCTGGAGGGCGGTCATTCGGCCAGGATGTGTCGTGACGTTTCTGTCTGCCACTGCCGGCAGGTTTGTCGGCGGACCTGAATCATGGCAGCATTCGCAGCCCGGAGGTGCTGCTTTGTTATAAACGGGGCTGGGACAAACCGCCGCTGGTGGATATCGGGTAAGAGAGTCTCCCGTTACACTAACTTCGTCATGTAACTGATAGATCGCGCCCCAACCGCAATATAGCCGATCGATATTGCAAATCGGCGGCGTATGTGGCGTTCAGACCACCTCTTTGTGTGGTAACGTTGACCGTTACGGACGAAGATGCAGTCATGCGGAAGCAACTCGCTTGGTGATGGCTGCGACTCGAGGAGTGATGGAGTTTCAAGTCGTCAAACACTAATCTTGACCATCCCACAAAGGCTGTAATGGCGGAATGCTCGTAACTTCTGTGAATATCATGTCGTTCCGTCTTTTTCACTGTGATCTGGGCCTCCGTCACCAAAGTGCCCCTGAAAATGCGCCACCTTTTACCCGACGACGGCCTGGTGTACCGCGTCAAGACCGCAGCGTGCCCTCCGCCCCGTAGGGTGCTGTACGGCGGCAAGGAGTACGTGATGCCCGACTCGCGGGTGGTGGAGCCTCCATCTGACGGCACCCCTCCGCCCCGTAGGGTGCTGTACGACGGCAAGGAGTACGTGATGCCCCACTCGGAGATGGTGGAGCCTCCATCTGACGGCATCCCTCCGCCCCGCAGGGTGCTGTACGACGGCAAGGAGTACGTGATGCCCGACTCGCAGGTGGTGGAGTTCACACCGGCCGGCCGCATCGCCAATGTGAACAACAGCACGGCGCGCACGTACATCACGTACCGGCGCGCGTCCGACTCGTCACCCTGCAACGAGCTGGTGGTCACCGACATCTGCGTGATCGTGCTCACCAAGGACGAGGTGAGTCGGCCGGGGCTCGGCGGCGGTGTGCGCCCGCCGCCCGGGCAGAGGGACGAGGTTATGGCGGAAGGCGGTCAGTCTCCGGGAATGTCAGCTGGGTCACTAGGGATCAGCGACATGCTCTTTGCGCTGGGGAGTAATGCTCGTCATGTCGAACGTGACGTGAAGTGGGACTACGCCTGATCTGTTCGCCGAGGGGTAGCGTGTGACGAAGATGAAGATGAAGTGCTGCTGAAGGTCTAGTGTCAGGTAGAGGCCTGCTGGCTATAGTTTTTCAGCAAAGAGGGAATCGCACCACGTGCATTGATGTATGGGCTGTCACAGTACAGCATACACCGATGAGGTGGCTCAGCAAGAGCCTACTGGAAAATACTGCGGAGAGTTCGTCAAAAGTAGCCTGATGATTTTGCCTTCTATTGGGTTACACATCATGACTTTGTCATGAAAGTATTTGGGACTAGCAGGTTTTGGTCGCAGCTAGTTTCAGATTTTCATGACTGTTTAACATTATTCCAGGTGCCCCCACACACATACTGCATCATCCCGAAAACGCTGAACAAGGGCATGGTCGGCTCTGACGTGTACATCTGCTACAAAAAGTCGATGCGACAACCGACGAAGGTCGTCTACAAACCTGGTAAGGGTAGACCCCAATCACGCTGTAAACGAGACATGTGGGATGGGAAGGTTGAGAGGTCTAGGGTGCTTTGGATCGCGCAGCCGGTTAACGAATGCTGCTGAAATGGTCGATTTAGCGACCGTTTCCGCCGTGAGTGGGTCGAGTTTCACGGCATCTCCGCCACCGCGCAATGCGTGCCCGACTAGCAGAGCTGGTAATCCAGTTCACTTTCCCTGTTCTGGAGCTGAGCGCGTGATGAGTATCTCTCACCGTGTGTCGCTTTCGGCCCCTCCACCTCCCACCCGCACCCTACAATGTCGTCATCGGTCCTGTTGGCGTCTGCTGTCGCCCCCAACTGTTGCGCTCCTTTTATGCCCCGCCGTCGTCTGAACGTCGCCTCGGCTGTCTCCGCGCCTGATCCGGATCGGTGCCGCGCCGCCTGCCGGCCGGCAGGTCTGCTGAGCAGGTTCCCGCTGGAGGACCGGCCGTACTTCCCGCTGCCCGAGTCGGTGCCGCTCTTCTGCCTGCCGATGGGCGCCACCGTCGAGTGCTGGCCCGCCCAGGCGGCCACGCCCAAGCCTGTCTTCTCCACCTTCGTGTTCACCGTGGCTGAGGGAGCTGAGAAGGTGGGCTCGCGCAGCACGGCCGCCGGCGCGGTCGCGGCACGGCCTTGGTGGGAACACAGGACACGGACGCTGTGGCGTGCTACACGGAGCCGTGGTGTTTCGCTCTCCCGCATATCGTCTCAGCATAGGCACTGGTCGACCGCTTCTGTTTTTGGCTGCAGTGTTTGTTGTTTGTCGCCGGCATTGCAGTGGTTTATTTGGGTCCAGTCTGCGTAGTGTTGTCATTGAGCTGCGCGGACCGTTTGCGTCGTCATTCCGCCGTCCCTGCCCTCGGCCTATCTCTACTGCTCGTCTTTCCAGTCCTCTACCACACCACTCCTGTAATATATACTGCCGCGTAGTCGTCATACCTTAACCTGTTTTTCTGTCAACCCAGGATGTTGTTTGCAAGCACCATTTGTCTCTCGGCCACGCCTACCTTCGAGCTTTACCGTCCGGCACAGCTGTGTCCCTTCGGTTTTCTTCTCCGGCTGGCTGTGCCGTACCTCTCGGTGCGTTGTCCGTGCAGTCACGTGTTGACTGCCATCGTGCACATTTACAAGCCGCTGATATCCGTCGGCGCCCGTCCCAGCTGCTTGTGTGCCGGGTCCGGCGGCGCCGCCCGGCTTTCTGGGACGCCTGTGACCTGCCGCCGGTCCCTGACGTGCCACCGACGCCTATGGCCGGCCGCCGGTCCCTGACTTGCCACTGACGCCTGTCTGCCGCCGTCGCCTGTGACCGGCCGCCGGTCCCTGACCTGCCACCGACGCCTGTGACCGGCCGCCGGTCCCTGACCTGCCGCCGACGCGTGTGACCGGCCGCCGGGCCCTGACCTGCCTCCGGGCCCTGACCTGCCGCCGGGCCCTGACCTGCCGCCGGGCCCTGACCTGCCGCCGACGCCTGTGGCCGGCCGCCGGGCCCTGACCTGCCGCCGACGCCTGTGACCGGCCGCCGGGCCCTGACCTGCCCCCAACCCCTGTGACCGGCCACCGGGCCCTGACCGGTCGCCGGGCCCTGACCGGCCGCCGCTCACCGGCAGGTATACGGCAGCTCCATCACGTTCTACGAGCGGTTCCCGGAGGACCGGTTGACGGAGCAGCAGCGGCTCCAGCTGGGTATCGACACGCACCACCCGTCCGAGATCTCGGTCAACACCAACAAATCCATCGGCGTGCTGTCGCACTGGCCGCTGTTCGACACGTTCGAGAAGTTCCTGCAGTTCCTGCACCAGACGGCCATCTCGGGCCGCGCCACGGCCGTGCCGCTGGAGAGGTGTGTTAGCCGCCGCCCTGCTCGGGGACCGGGCCCGCCGCCGGCAGCTCGGGGACCGGGCTGACTGACGGGGTCAGGCTGGGGACGGCCGGCCCGGCTGGCGCCCCGCTCGGGGGCCGGGCCCGCCGCGGGCTGACGGGGTCAGGCTGGGGACGGTCGGCCCGCAGCTAACACTGGCTGCTGGGAAGGCTGTGATTTGGCACGGAGAGCGAGGCAGAAAACATCTGTGCAAGAGTTTGCCAGCTCGTGTCTGGAAAGTGTTTTTATAAGTGCGTCGGTTACAGCAGAACAATAACGCTGTCTTTGATTTCGTAACTTTTTTGCTGACGCACGTAACAGTAGTAAAACAATGTTGCGCAGCTAATCATGCACTGCACTTAGTAGAGTCTTGTGGAGTTGTTTTATGCTTTTACGGTAGATTTTGTATGGTCATTTTTACTATTTTGACACGCTTAAACCGTATTGTAGTGTTTTCGGGTGCACCGACGACAGAGGTCTTCCTGCCCCCACGTGTGAGAATACTGTCGGCCGTCACCACCTGCGCGTCACCCCCCACACGAGCGCCGCCGGCTGCCGCCCATGCCCGCTGACGCCGCCCCTCCCGCAGGTACATCAGCCACATGCTGCTGGAGGTGCCGTTCCCGTCTGTGGCGCGGCCGTACGTGCACGTGCAGCTGGACGGCGGGGCCCCCATGGTGGTGGCACAGCCGCACTCGTCGCCGCTGCCCAAGAGCGGCGCCAGCTTCTGCAAGCTGCTCAAGAATCTGGGCCCCGACAACAGCCTGCTGGTGCTGGCTGTTCTCACTCACCGAGCAGAAGCTGCTGCTGCACAGCCTGCGGCCGGACGTGCGCACGCGCGTGGCCGAGGCCGTCTCCTTGGTGAGCACCTGCCGCGCCGGGCGGGGGATATTTTGGGGCGGGGGGAAGGGCAATGCTAGCTGACGCGCTGGTAAGGTGGGGACCGCGTGGGCTAGAACCTCGTGCCCACTGGGGGCGACGGTACGGAATGTGTTATTGGTCTTCACGTAGCATACATGTATCTGTGTGTGCAGGAATGTCGTATAACGCAGGCAGGCGTGCCGTGGTGTTTCCATGTTTTAAGACGTCATAAAGCTGACGGGTTGCACGTTCGGCACCGTTCATTGTCAGCAGCAGTGACTAAATATTCAAACGTTTTTGAGTAAATGATCAGCGTTCCTGCTAGCGTACCCAAGGTGATCACGCTTAACCAGATGCACTGTGAAATGAAAGGTTAGGTCCCTCTGGCTTCATTCGCGTGGCGTTCGCACGTTATCGTCACGACATGGTCGTCTGTAGTGTCGTTACTTCGACATGGCCAGTCAGTGGCAGCACATGTCCAGCGCCTTGCAGCGTGCGGCGTCGGCGTGGGTCAGCCGCCCGCTGACCGCCCTCCGTCGCTCGGCAGATGATCTTCCCGTGCGTCTGGCAATGTCCGTACATCCCGCTGTGTCCGCTGGGGCTGGCCGACATCTTGTCGGCGCCGCTGCCCTTCCTGGTGGGCCTCGACAGCCGCTACTTCGACATGTACGACCCGCCGCCGGAGGTCACCTGCGTGGACCTCGACACCAACACCATCTTCATGTGAGCGAGCGCGGCGGGCAGCGGCATCATGGTACCAGGTCGCTGCGCGCGCTAACGGCGCCCTGGTGCGATGGGAAGGGGTAGACGCTGCTAGGCTTTGGCTTGGCTGTGTGGCGTGGACTTGCCGATTGCTGTTGGAGTGGGTTTATTTGTATCAGTGTAAAATTAATATGCAAAGTAAATATGAAAGTTGCGTATTCATTAGCAGCGTTCGAAATAAGTGCGCTTTTAGTACAAACATTAAAAAATGCGAACATAATTTGCTCTATAAAACGGGATCCAACTTGCCTGACATCTAGTTACCGTTGCATTTGCCGGGAGTTGCGAAATAAGTGGCATACCCTTGGATAATCGCATGGTTGCATAGAACTGTGTGGTTGATAGTGCACGCTCTGTCTCCAGCGCCGAGGAGAAGCGACACCTGGTGACGAAACTGCTGCCCAGGAAGGCCTGCAAGCAGCTGCGGCACTCCCTGGAGGCCGTGTTCGACAGACTCTACTCCATGTCCAGGAAACGGGTCAGCTCGCGGCATCTGCAATTATACGGTGTTAAATTTTGTCCAACATGGCCACATGGCAGATCCCCGCTGTGTACGCCCATTCGTTAACGGGCTTCCGGATTTAATCGTAGAAAGCGGCAGATTCCGGACCAAAAGAAACAACATGAGCCCCTGAAGTCCAGGGCACTCGAAATAGCGTCACTTGTTAGGCCTGCCTTGGGCTATATCGGGAAATGCTGCAGACTGAAACACTGCAGCAACAAAATGAGCAAGAGGGACTGTGGAGATCGCAGTTTCTTGGCTTTGTGAGTTCTTGTGCTGATAACACGCTCCTATCAATGGACCAAACAGCATTAATGGCAAACGGTGGTATCAAAGTATCGAGGGAGTCGGCAGTCTTCGCAGTTCGAAAATGGGTCCGAATATATTTGCATTAGTCAGATATATTTGCATCTTCTTGCAGGTGAAGGGTGGCAGCCCAGAGATGGACCTGAAGGTGCAGATGATGGAGCACCAACTGGAGATCGAGATCCAGGAGGCCTTCCTTAGGTCAGCCCGACGCCGTGGCCTACTTTGTCACAAACGATCTAGCTGTTTTTTTTTAATTGTGTTGTTTACTTTACACGTGGCACATAGCATATACATTTGACAAACACTGCATGATCATTACAAAACCAATGCTATGCAATCATTACAAATGGGCGCACCAACAATCTAGTTTAATGGGAGTCCGCCGCAATTCTTTAACCCTTTCTTTCACATTGTTCTACAAGGATAAAAGAAGTCTCAACAGCCATCTCAGACTATACAAAAAGCCCGTACAAAATACAGCTAGATGGCTGTCTTAGATCGAGGTGTATTTTATACGACCTGTAACTTTCGCTCCTATGGGCATCTTTTTGGTACCAATCGCGGGTCTGCGGTATGCTAGTTCATAGAGGTATAACTAACGTGCCAGTACAGGGGTTTCGCGTAGAAAATCTGCCGTCGAGCGCAATCTCAGTATGAGGGTCGTCAGACTATCAATCGACGTATGGGGATACTATTCCCAGTTGCTACTCTTCCGCGCCCTGCAGCGTGGTATCCGCGTCGGAGTCCGTGGGATAGTGTGCCGGTGACTAGTTCGTCGAGTCTGACGCCAGTCGCTGCGGTGATGACAGCCGCAGTCGCGTGCCCTTGCCGCAGGTTCATGGCGAGTATCCTGCGCGGCTACCAGGCGTTCCTGAAGCCCATCAAGTCCAAGCCGACCATGGGCACCACGGACCCGAGCTCGCTCTTCGACCTGCAAGGTGAGCGCCGGTGGAACGGCGGCCGGCCGCGGGCTCGCGCCCTTCACCCGCTCACCGAGGCCGGCTCCAACCGTGCAAACGGCTTGATGTCGTGAAAGCCCGCCTCCGTGACGCTATTTTGTAAATATGCAGATGAATTACAGATTCGGCCGTCGCTGAAGTGATATTGGGTGTTCTGTCAGCTGTCATGCATGTGGCGTAAACGTGGATGTGTCCACCGAGCTCGTCATGCGTGATGCATTTCAGGGTTCCTGAAGTCGCGAGACAAGGCGCACCACCAGTTCTACCAGATGATGATGACGACGCAGTCGTTCATCCGGTTCATCGAGGAACGCAGCTTCGTTTCTGACAAGGACGCCTACCTGGTGTTCTTCGACGAGTGTTTGGCCAAGGTATGCTCGCACACGTGCGGACGACAGATCGCGCCGCAGTGTTACTGCAGCTCTCTCCCCTTCTCCGCCACTTATAATCAACCGCAAGCGTTCCCCTGTCTAAGCTGGTAAACTTTTCACCGCTGTCTGTGTTAAGTTTTGACACACTCCACTGACTAACTAACCGACCTCCGCACCCCACGCGCTGGAGGATCCGTTGGCAGTGTCCGCCAAACAAGCGTGTCTGTGACGCCCCACCCATGCCGGAGTCCGCCCGCCGCCGTCTCTGCGCACGTGAGCGTCGCTCACCGGGCTCCGGGCGCCGCCGCTGACGCCGGCCGTCTGGCGGCAGGACCTGGACTCGCCCGACTGCCGCCTGCTGGAGCCGGACAACCCGCAGAGCGAGCGCACCGTGTTCGTGCCGCCGCCGGAGCCGTTCGAGGGGCGGCAGTTCGTCTACCACGTGAGTGGCGCACGAAGGGCCGCGCCTGCGGACAGGGGAGGAGGCGGTGCACGGGCTCGCAGAAGGGCTGTGTCTGCCAGCTGTCTCACGGCGTTTGTCGGACGCGGAACTGTGTCGAGGTGTCTCCCGGTTATCGCGTATGACCATCATCACTGATGGCTATTGGAACGCCTGAACGGGCCTGCTGTTGCCTCTCCAGTGGCTATTTAGGGTTCTCTTCAACGCTGAAAATGTGGCAACGAAGCTGTTTAGTAAAATAGGGTCACATAGCAGCAAATCCCTCATGTTGCCAGCATCCATCTGTATGAGTGTTTGTTCAGGCTGTTGTCCTCATGTGGTGTGTCGATGTATTCACAGCGCTCCCCCGCTCTGTATGTGGGGACGGGACGGCCGATAGCGTGCCTTCTGCGCCATCTCCCCACACCTCGGGGCGGCGTTGACCCCCTGCCCCGCCCCGTCTGCAGGAGTTCGGTGAGCTGCACCGGGAGCTGTTCCTGGCGGCGGCCGTGCCTCAGCCGACGCCGCCGCGGCCCCGGCCGGCCGTGGCGGCCGCGGCGCCGGGCGCCGCGCCCTCGCCCCTGGTGCGGCGCACCAAACACGAGGTCATGTCGGCCCGCAAGCAGGCGCTGAAGCAGGCCGAGACGCCTGTCCTCTGGGCCCGCTACCTGGTCGGCACGTGCTTCAGGTGGGTGCTGCAGGTCGGCGCTCAGGGGCGCGGGCCGAGCTGGCAGGGACGCCGCGGTGACGGGCGGGCTGGGTGGGGCAGGCCGCTCGGCGGGGCCGGGCCCGCGCAGACGGATCGGCTTCGTGTCGGAGTGGATAATGGCGCGCATACGGTGACACATGCGCGGTACGACAGCGAGGCGGCCGATGCGGAGCAGTGACCGCTCAGTTGGACATTGAGTCATACCCTGGAGCATGTTTGCCGGTGTGCAGAGCAGGCGTGCGTTTCAGTTCTGGCTGACGCCACGTATAGTGCGATGTCGCAGCGATGTGTGGTGGCGGCACCGCAGCACCGAGTGTACAGGGGTGGAGGCAACGCCGCGGAAAGGGACGCTGGCGTGTGGATACGATCCGCTGGTTGATCGCCGGTGATGTCCGGTGTGCGACAGTCTGTGGTTCGTCCACCTGCCCAGCTACGTGGAGGCCTGCGACGACCGGAAGACAGCCATGGATCAGGCCTTTCAGATCATGGTCGTCATGCAGAAAATACTCCAGCAGAGTGTGGATGAGGTGAGTGGAGTGGCTCGCTGGCATGGGAAACGTGTGGTGGTGTTGGTGTGGTGGTGTTGTATGGGATTATTTGCGTTGCCTCGGAATGGGTTTAACTGTTTTGTCGGATGAATGGAAGTGGAATCAGGGATGAATTGGGTCTAACCCGTCAATTACTCCCGTGTGGTCAGTTATTAACGTGGTTGAGACGGATGTCATTGTACAGGTTGTGACTTGCTGAAAGCATTCTGCGCGCACATTTTGTCAGAACTGCAAACAAATGGTGTCATGGCACCTTGCGTTGTCCACAATTAGATCTGTTGTTCAGGGCCACGTCGTCACACGAGTGTGGCTGGTACGTCATCAGTACGTACGGGCGATAATTCAGCCCTGTGCGCCCCCAGGTCTGCTACCGCGTGATGATGCAGCTGTGCGGTCAGCACTCGCTGCCCGTGCTGGCCGTCAAGGTGTTGTACAAGATGAAGCAGCTGGGCATCCACCCGAACGCGCTGACGTACGGCTACTACAACAAGGCGGTGCTGGAGTCGGAGTGGCCCACCGACACGCTGGCCATGGGCCGTCTGCTCTGGAGCAAACTCAGGTGCGCCGTGCCGCTCCGCCCCCTCGTGCCCTCGTGCTGCTCGTAGCAGCGGGGTAATGCCCCATCTGGGCCGGAACGGCGGACGCCACGTTGGTAAAACGGCAGGTAAAACGTTGAAAAGACGTGGGCATAAAGCCAAACTTGGCGATGTCATTTTAACGCCGGCTGATTCGCTGGTATCCCGTGCAGTAGCGTGGGCTACGACTTTGTCTCGTCGTAGTCGGAGGCGTCTTGCGGCGAATGTCATCTGTGATCAGTGCTCGCAAGCCCGTCACCCATCAGCTGAGACCCGTGTCGTGTGACGCGCGACTTCTGACCCGTGACCCGAGGTCGGTGGCACCGCAGGAATGTGGTGCTGGCGGCGGCCGAGTTCCGCGCCGGTCCGCGGCGGAGCGACAAGAAGAGCTCTCTGGCCGGCGGAGACCCGGGGGGCCTCCAGTCAGTCACTCGGTCAGTGTCGGGCGCGGTCCTGCGTGCAGTACGAGGCCGACTGTGGGGTCGACCCGTCGGTCAGTTCTGCAGTACGGTGTGCTCTGTCTGGGCTTCTCTGCATCTCTTGTGTGCCGTTTGCGGATGCTCTGATAGCTGACTGGGGCCTGGTTACATTTACTGAGTTCACGTGTGCCTGCTTCAACCCTCTTGTGTTGGCCTGGTTTCAAAGGTGTGTTGGGTCTGATCACCCCCCCCCCCCCCTCCCTCCCGCCGACCTGTGGTTATGTCCGGCCCAGTTCGCCCCCTGACCTGTACCCGGCCTCGGTCCCGCCCCGCCCTGGCGCGCCCCGGCCAGCCCCCGACCTATACCCGGCCTCGCCCCGCCCCGCCCCGGTGCGCCCCGGTCAGCCCCCGACCTCTGACCTATACTTGGCATCACCCCGCCCGGCGCGCCCCGGTCAGCCCCTGACATATACCCGGTCTCGGCTGCACCCCTCCCCGGCACCCCCGGGTCAGGCCGCCACCCTCTCCCTGACCTGCGTCCGTGTCGGGCCGGTTTCAGACGCGGACCGTGTGTCGTGCTCGTCGGGCGGCAGCGGCCGGTCAGTGGGCTCCCTCAGCCGGCCGGACGGCCGGACAGGTGAGCCCCGCCCCTCCCCCGCCCCGTGACCACACGGTCCGGCCGTGTCGAGCCGACCTCGGCCTGGTCGCGCGCACAGCTGGGCCGCCCTGCAGTCGGGCCCTCGGGCCCAGCACGACCGGCAGGTGGAGGCCACAGGAGCTGGTGTAGTGGAGCCGGCGCGACTACACCGCAGGAGCTGGTGTAGTCGCACCGGCGTCTTGCATCGCATGTGCGAATCTCGGAGCGGGCGCCGTCTCGGCGGGAGTGACGCTGAGCATGCGGTGTGTCCTATCAGATGTCCTGAATGTGTGCTTCTTACTTCGGCAGTCGCCTGCGAAGAGATGCTGAAGAAAGGCGATTAAATATGAAAGCTTGCAGTGATTCCCAGCAATTCTGTGATTCTGTGGTTTGCTGTTTACCATCATTTGCATTTGCTTTTTGTCATTTGGACTTTCACTATGTCATGTCACATTTGTCATTTGCACATAGCGGACCGATGTGTGTAGCTACCAGACAGACGCGTTCACGACAGAGTATAAGTCTGAAGGTTGACGAGGAGAGCAAACACGGCCAGCCCCTGCACGGTGCAGGCCGACCCTGACCTCTGCCCGCCTCCGCGGCAGGGCGGCCGCCGGTGGCGCGCACGCTCAACTTCGGCCGGCTGGACTTCTCCGAGTCGGACCACTTCCGCTCCCGCGTGGGCAGCATCGTCAAGAGCTCGGCCGGCGTCCGGCTGCCCGGACAGCCGCAGGCGGCCAACTGTGAGTGCCGCCCGTCACCTGCGGCCGAGCCGGACGCGGCGCGCTGCCCGCTCACGGCACTCCAACAGGAGGGCGCCCAGTGACGGGGAGGGGTACCCAGGGCGGGGAGGGGTACCCAGCGGCGGGGAGAGTGCCCAACTGCTGGGAGGAGTACTTTGTGCTTCAGGGCCGCAGGCTTCAGGCGTCGGCCAGTCGCGTGCCGTTGTACCGATGGCGTGCGAGGGAGGGCTGAGCGGCTGAGCCCACTTGGCCTGACCTAACCTGACCTGACCTGACCTGACCTGACCCCGGCGCGCAGATGACAGTTCGGCCGGTGTTCTGATGGTGGCCTGTCCGGAGGCGGCCGTGCTGAGCGGGCCGGCGAGCGGCGGCAGCGGCGGCGGTGGCGGCGCCGGCGCGGCAGCCGGGCCACGCCACCTGCTCGACTCGCCGCATCAGGAGGAGCTGCGCGCCCGACACCTCAGCAACGACACGCCCCAGCACCAGCAGATATCGCTGCTCAGGTCAATACCGGCGGCGAACGCCGACGTCGATGGCTGGGCGTAAATCTGGGGCCTGACGCGGGCCGGAGTTCAAACGGCGTTCGAGACAGCGGCTTGTGCTGTGGGATCTACATTTCCACGAAGTAATTTACCCTCATTTCGCATGCAAGCCACGCGGCGGTGTGCGCGAGCACCGGCTGGCGGCCCGATCTGAGGTCTCTTGAAGGTCAAGTCGATGCAGGCCGCTCGTGCCATTCAAACCGGTCATGTTAAATCATATTGCATGACTTTGGTGCCGTCTCGTGCCCTGTAACGGGAGCCGAGAGCTGCCGTGATCATTGCAACACTAGTTCGTACTGAAAGGTGCGCATGTGACGTATTCTGGAGCCTCCACTGTCGCCAGCGTTCCCCGCCGTCATCAGGCCGATGTTCGCCGCCACGCTCCGTCGTAACCCGCCGACGCGACCGCCTCGCAGGTCGACCAGCTTCGCCGACGACGACCAGATCCTGGCGTGCCTGCGCGAGCCGCGGACCGACGAGCTGGCGGCGGCGCTGGCGGCCGACGCCGCCGCCAGCGCCGCCGCCGCCGACCGGCGCCGCTCGGCCAGCCAGGACATCAGCCTGGAGGAGCGTGTCAACGCCTACTACGCCGGCGAGCGCTGCGAGAGCCGCGACAGCCGCGAGCGCAGCGTCGACACGCGCAGCGTCGACAGCCTGGAGCTGGCGGCCGAGGCGGTCGGCGGCGGCCTGCAGGCGCGCACGCCCGTCACCGAGAACGACCCGCTGGGCGCGCTGGGCGCCGGCGACAGCCCGCCGTCGTCGGGCCGGCTGTCGGCCGCGCTCTCGGCCACCTCCAGCCAGCCCAGCCGCAAGGCCAGCCTGTTCAAGGTGCGCCGCTGGGGTGTGGGGCCGGACGGGCCGCTTGGGAGCTGGTGGAGGACGGTGCTTTGGGCAGTCGTGGGTCTGCTGAGTCTTTTCAGCGCTCCACATAAAGAGCAGTGGCTGCGTGGTGCGGAAACTGCCAGTTGGCTTTCCGAAATACCCGCAAGTTTCTAGAGCTCTCTTATTTGAGCTTATTGACACAACGGAGCGAATTTTGGTTTACCTTACGGGTGCTACGGCGTGATCTTAGTTGAATCAAATAAAACGTTCACATGTTCCACTGACGCGGCCTTTTCCCCGCAGGCCGAGCCGTTTGCCGACGGCTTCGACCGGCCGGGCGGCAGCGATGCCAGCCCGTCTTTCGGCAAAAACGGCAAGGCGTCGAGTCCGGCGAGCAGCGCCGTGACCGGCTTCCGGCTTCCGTTCAGGTGAGCCGCGCCACGTTCGTCGCCGGAGCGGCGAGCGCATGTCACGCCCTTGTCGCACGTCGAACTGCTAGAGCGCGCTTCAGTAGCTCGTGCTCGGTTGTCTTGCCTGCCTCGTCTCTCGCTTGCCGTCGGCTAGTTTCCGAGTGGTCGCACGCCGGCGTGTGCTCAGTGGTCGAGTGGTCGCAAGTCGGCGCTCGCCCGCGCCCGCGGTCGCGTGGTGGCGGCCTGGGCCGGAGCCCGCGGCGTCGGCCCGCTGGGCGGATGGCCCCAGCCGTACTGCCGCGGCTGCGTGTGGACCGCTCCCGGCTGCCCGTGCCGCGCAGTCGCGAGAGCGCGGGCCGTCGCCGCCGGCTCGGACGTGTGCATGGACAGTCGTACAGGACAGACACGCACCGGACGGACGCCCGCTACCGCGCGGCCCGGCGCCGTCTCGCTGTGCCCCAGCCACTCCAGAAATGTTCGTCCATCGCTCAGACAGGAGTCATGTCGCGTCAAAAGACTCGGGATCGAGTGTATGCCCTTTTTTGCATGCCATCTTTCATTTTGTCACCCCCTTTGCGTGAGGGAAAGACGTTAACTCTTATGTTGACTCAATGACTCTTAAGCCATTGGCATAGGGTAAAAATACCAGGAGGACATTTCGACTGGCGATGGTCCTGAGCGGGTCTACCCGGCAGGGGGCCGCCATGCGGCGCGTGAAACCCTCTACAGTTCCACCCGGCGAAAGGGCTTAAGGTGAAATTGTCTAATGAACCGAACAGGCAAAACCTGGGTGGCGGGTGCAGGGTACAGGCAACAAGCTTGGCAAGTGCTTAAGCAAATTGAGCCCAAAAGATACTACTGTAAATTACTAGATACATTTCGGAGAACAGAAAATAGTTCCCGCGGGCTGCCTGGGTTTCTCCCGGGCCTCTGGGCAGGCGCCGCCGCCGCGGGCTGCGGCCGACTGGCGACGAGGCGAGCGGCAGCGGCAGCGGCCGTCGGCCCGGTGCCGTGTCTGGTGACCAGGCTGTCGTTAGCTGGCCGGGCCCCGTCCGCCGGCGCCCCTGCCGTACGCCCGCCGCCGTCGGACGGCAGTCAGCGCCCCTGCGTCTTCTTGCAGCGCTAGTAGTAAGCTGGGCCTGGCCTCCAGCCTGGCCTCGCACAACCTGCGCCGGGCCGAGCGTAGGTTCCGAAAACATATCGATACCATCACGCCCGAGCTGGACGGACTGATGAAGAGCTACAGGTGAGCCGCGCCGACAGCTGCTGAGCTACAGGTGAGTCGCGCCGACAGCTGCTGAGCTGCAGGTAAGCTGCGCCAACGGCTGCTGAGCTGCGGGTGAGCTGCGCCAACAGCTGCTGATTTACAGGTGAGCTGCGCCAATGGGTTGGTGAGGGTGTATAAGTGGTAGACAGCATTCACGCGGGATGGGGTATGGGGTGTGGTGGCCGTGGCCGCTTGCTCAATTTTGGATAGGAAGATAAATATTTTCGCTGTTGCAAATCGCAAACGGCTACCGTTATTATGTAACTTGGCGACGCATACCACAATTGTTTTAGTATTGTCTTTCTTACGGACTGACAAGAACCCCAACATAAGCCATTCGCTCTTTTGTATTTACAGGCGATCAAGATTGGGAGTTAGACGGGCGGATGAACACTTGGAATTAGTTAAGCAGATGCCTGGCTCATTTTACGTGTATGGTCCGTTAAGCTCACCAGACGTCCGTTCAGCTCATGCTAGTAAAACACTAAAGCTAAGCTAACTAGTGAAGGTAAGGAAGGCTTACAAAAGCTTATGCCTATGAAAAGTCTAACCGGAGCGATCTGGGGAAGTGTGCTTCATAGAATGGTAAGAAGCGGTAGGTGAGCGGGCCGGACCGCTGCAAGTTCTAGATGAGTCGAATCAACGTAATGTATGGACGGGAAGGTAAGGGTCTGTGCCTCATCAATTGGTGGTGATGTTGGGACCATTGTCTTGGAAATGAACAGCTGGCCAATTTTGCATGTTTGTGTGCACGCTTCCAACGCTGTTTTGCGTGATTTGCGATGGTAACTTTAGATGCATCAGCAGCATGGTTGTTGATTGACCCATTTTCGGCTGGTAAAACGGCTTACTGACAGCATCGACTGGCCTGATGCCGTGTTTGACACTGACCAGAGGTGTACTGTCGGGCCTGTCGGGCCAAAACTGTGGCCGGCCGTGCGCTGTCGTCCGCCGACCTCGCCCCAGCCGCGCCTGACGCCTCGCGCCGCCGCAGCCCGGCCAGCCTGAAGAACCACGAGCTGCTCAAGTCGGGCGTCAGCTCCATCCGGTCGGCGGCCACCTCCGTGTACCGCAAGCTGGACGAGCTCAAGGAGGTCATGTCCAGCCAGAGTCCTGCGCTCACCAAGACCATGAGCCTGTGAGTGTGGCGGCGCCCGCCGATGCTCGGTCGCTTGGCTGGCTGGCGGCCGCGGCGGGGAGGGTGAGGGGGGCGGGGGGGGGGGTCCGGCACCCGTGACCGGTCCGGGGACCGGGCTGAGGCGTGTGGTGCTGGCGGGAGGGGATCGGTGGGACACCGTCAGACCGCTGTGGCCGCGTCTCCGCTCGTGCGCTGCGTCTCGCGCGCGCCGTCGGGCCGGCACTGCCGCCTCCGCGGGCCGCGAGACGCGATCGGCGCGGCCGGCCGACCTCTCGTGTACATAGCCGTGAGTGCCGCCGTCGTGCTAACCGCGGCCTGTTCTCTGTCTCTCCCGTCGGTCCGCAGTCTTGGCACTAGCATGCCCTCGAATTTCCACTATCCAGCGTACAGGTACAAGTGAGGCCCGACGGGCGGCATGTGCGTTGGTGTGCGCCCCTCTCCACCACCTCCACGGGGCTTCGCTCCTTCTCGTTTGTCTATCGACGCCCTCCCTCACGGCCGCATGCACAGGGCAGGTGGACATCTGACTGCCCCTCTGTTCACTGGCTGTGCGACTCTTGGGTAGACGTTGCTGTTGCCCTTCTCTCTGGCGCTGGTGTAGTGTTGTGTCGTGTCGTGTCGTACTCGGGGGCACGCACCGGCTGCAACCGACGTGTCCGTGTTGTCGCGTGGCATCTCCTGGCGTGTCATGGGTGATGGTAGTTACACTTTTCAAGCGGCTTGGCGAATGACATTTCGTGCTGCCTTTGGGACGTGTGAAACTTTTCGTTGGATAGTACCCTGTTGTTGTGTGGCATCCTTGATTAACAGTATTTTGAGTGTATGTGACCCAGTACTGTAGTCAATACTTTCCACGCTCAGCTGAACAAGGAAGTGTTTGGTGGTCTTGACGCGGAGTAGACCCACAGTAAGCACGAGGTTCAGTACTGTTTGTATTAAAACGAATAGTTCAGCTGCTTGGGGCGTGCCTAGCCTGCCTGTCTTGGAATGTTGGAAATGCTGTAGTGGACCCGTAATGTAGTCTCGCACGCTTACTTCTATGAACATATATATTACTCCTTCTCACGTGGCTGCTGGTAGACATTGCACCCAGAGGTCATTTGGCCCTCATGTGACGGGATCGTAATAGAGCAATGTAATATCAGTGGTAGTTGGGGATTTAGGACGCGCTCAGCTGCTGAGGCTGTGTGGCGTGGCCTGTCTCTCACCCTGGCGGAAGGGCGTGCACCGCGAGGAATCGAACATGATTCCTCCAATTTTCGATAAGCGCGGCTCAACCATTGCACCATCGGTACCCAACATTAAAATATATGATGCCATAATAATCGAGCAGGCGCTGATTTACCCGGGGGGGGGGGGGGGGGGGGGGGGCGCACTCCGGCGCTTCAATGCTGCGTAAATGAGAGACCCGCTGTGACGTCACTGCTGCCGGGTCGTGAAACAGAAGATATAAACGAACTGTGGCAAGTGCTGAGCGCCCGTTGTCAGTGATTTATATATATATATATATATATATATATATATATATATATATATATATATATATATATATATATATATATATATGGAAACTCCTAACTTTTAACTGTTGTAACGGATCGAGCATTAGTATTGAATAATTTTAGCACACTTGCAACCAGACACGGGGCTAAATTCAATTTCCGATATTTTTGGCTATGTCTGTTGACGTAAGGTTCTAGATTATATGCACGCATAATTCGAACCATGTGGGCCATTGTGATGCAACTCTGAAAATGAAAGATGGCTTATAGTGTATTTGTGCTTCTTGCCGTATTACGAATATTGAACGCTTGAAACCATCTAGCCTGGTTTGCCTGCCAGCAAAAGGGGTTGCATTAATGCTGGGCCTCAGTGGCGTCATTTCAGGTTTTTGTGCAACAGTTGAGACACTGGAAGCGGTCCGCTGTGCCTTGTTTACAGACTCGAGTTGACCGACGTGGCATTCGCATGCCAAGCCACAAATCGCATTGTTCGTAGAATGGGCGGGTTGGGGCCAGGCCGGGCTTGGCGTTTCATTCAGTGAGGTTGATGGACTTAAAGTTATGCATATTTCGTATGGTTGCTGCGTTCGGCACTGCAAATATTTGTCACAGCGAACCCCGCCAGACGTCTAATGTGTATCATTCATGGCCCAGTTCGCCTCGGCCTCAACCTGCCGAACCCGATACCGTTTTCGAAAAGGGGTCAAACTGACACTCCCCGGTCGCTTGCTGGCCTACGTGAGGAGATCGAGAAGGGGTGACATTGACACTCCCCGATCGATCTCCGGGCAGCGCGGAGATCTCCCATCGACCTATCATGCCAGAGAAGGACGGGTCCGTGGTTAACGCTCGGGTGAGACGAACGTGGTTTACGCTTGACACACGAGGGCTCGTGCCTCTGCCAGTGCGACTGCCCGCCGTCTGGTCCGTCAAGTGGTGTTAGTTTTGTGTCGCTGCTGTGCCGGATCGTGATCCGGGCCCAGCGTCTCCTGGTCCGGCCGCGGTCTCTTGTGATCCGGACCCACTATCTCGTGATCCGGACTCGGTTTCAACCGTGTGGTGCGACTTTTCCGGGGAAGCAAATTGTACGATCACCGTGCTGATGTTCCAGTTTGCACGCATATGTCGTAGAATTTGTAGAGCACAACTTTTGAAGAAATTCAGTTCTCGTTCTTGAAACTGTATTAAGCCGGGATCCGAGGTTGCACACACGAGTATATGAACTTCCCAAAGAGCAACGGCTTGACGGACCGGGTCGCGCTGCTCAAGGTCAAGTTTTCCACCGTTGTAGCAGCGCTCGGTCTCATTCGTGTTTAACTTTGTGTCATGCCGGGTCGGGTGTATAGTTGATGCTCTCTCAGTTTACAAGTCGAGTACCGGGTACACTACAACTGATTTCTTGGAACCCCTTCATATTCGTGTTTTCTTGTTTGTTCCTCGGGGCTAAACTTCGATTATTGAAAGTGAACTGTCGCTTTGAATGAGGGAAACGACCACGGAGGACAGACAACAAAGCCGCCACTCTTCGAAGAGCGACCAGGCCTCTTCGTCGGTGGGACGGTCAGGTGTCATGTTTCTAGACGGCTGAGTTTCCTGGCCGAGCCTGACTATGTGCTGCTTAATGGCTGACCCGACCTGACCTGGTCTGACTTGCTTGACCGGCTGCAGGACCAGCATCGGCGAGGACGACGTGCTGGACGACATGCGCCACGCCGGCTCGGCCGAGGTCATACCGGGCTTCTCGGAGACCTGGTGCGACGGCCTCTTCAACGAGACCCAGTCCAGCTCCGGTGAGTGGCCGCTCATCGGCGGCGGCCGAGCCAGGGAGCGGCCGCCGGCCGCCGGCCGGGCGCGTGTCTCCGCGTGTCTCCGCGCATCTCCGCTCTCCCCTGACGCCGCACTCCTCCGTGACTGTTCAGCCCAGCACGTATCCGGGCGCTACGTGTGGCGCACAAGCTGGTCGTGACCCCCAGAGAGGGCCGACGGCGCTGAGCCGGCGCTGATGCTGACTGGCCAGAGCTGACCCTGGTGCTGCTGACCGTGCGGAGCTGACGACGGTTCTGATCCTCGCAGTGCTGGCGCTTTTCCCCTCTGACGTCGGACCTAACGCTGAGGTGCCGTGTGACGCCAGAGCTGACGCTGGTGGCGCCGCTGCCACCGCCGCTGCCGCCGCCGCTGGAGCCAGTGGCCGTAGAGCTGGCGCTGACCTCGTGCAGCCGCTGCTACAAGTGCCAGGCCACCGTCTACGACGAGGACATCATGGCGGGCTGGTCGGCGGAGGAGAGCAACCTCAACTCAAAGTGAGTCGGCGGCCGCGACGGCCGGGCCGGGCAGAGATGTTCACTCCGGATGGGGGAACGGGGCTCCGACTGGTGTTGGCTCCATGTAGCAGTTTGTAGCAGCCAGAGGACAACGTTCCGCAGTTTCACGTTGAACGAGATCCAGTTAAACAGGCATGTCCTCGTTGTTACCGTTTTCCGAAGGTCTCATAGCTTTTTTGTGACGTGCAGTTATTTCGTGTGTCGCTGTGTGTGTCGTTTGCTGAAGTGGAGTTTGTCTCTTTACTTTAGTCTCTGTGCCGTTTGTTGAGCCCATCGGCCGCCTGTCGAGGAGGCGGCCACCGGTGTGGTCTGTGCGTGACGTGACGGCTGCTGCCCGCCAGGTGTCCGTTCTGCCGGAAGCCGTTCGTGCCGCTGCTGACGGTCCACATCCGCGACTTCCGCAACCTCAGTCGGCAGCAGCGGACGGCCGAGCTGCACCTGCCCGGCGACCCCAGCGGTCAGTAGCCCTCTCGCCCCGTGCCGTGGCGCAGTCAGCGCAGACCACGGCCAGCGGACGTGCGGTGGGCGGTATAGCTCTGCCGGTACTGCTGTTGGTGTTCACCGCTGCCGGTCGGGCCGGCCAGCCAACCGACTGCGCCTTAATGCCGATCTGCGGGCAGTCCATGTGATAACATGAGGTCGGAGCCGGCGACCAGGAGACGGACTGAGCACGATCGCCGACCTGCCCGTTGTGGAGCTCTGTATCTGCCGTGCGAAGTGAATGCACGGGTGTACGCTCGCGTGACGCCGTGTCCTGGCGCAGCCGGGGCGCCGCTGGACCCCATCACGCTGCCGTACCTGAGTCCGCTGGTGCTCAGGAAGGAGGTGGAGAACGTGATGGACCACGACGGCCACGGCTGCCTCTCGGCGCCCGCCTTCGTCGACCAGCACCCCATCATCTACTGGAACCTGGTGCGTGTCCGACGCCAGACGTACAGCTGGCGGGTCTGAACGTCAGGAGGTCTCGAATCCGATGCCAGGGTTCTTGCCGTGACAACACTAACAGTGTCGTGAAAACATCGGGAGGCTCTGGAGCCGTGCTGTCACGAGCCGCACCCCGCCGACCCGCGCCGTGCCCACCTGCCGTGACCTCTCGCTCTGGCCTAGCCGCGATGTTCTCGCTGTGGGGAGTGTTACATGATACGGCATGTCTTGGTAGATTGTGGCCACTTTGTCTGGGACGCTTGCGCTATTTTGGGCCAGGCTCCGTGCGCCAGACGCTCGCTAGCATCTTGAGAGATGACTCGAGTTTGGTTAAAGACGGCCAGATTCTAAATTTCTTGGAGACACGCAATTCCATGCCATAGATCTGATGTAACCTTGTCTCCTTACTGTTACCACTCATTTTTGAATAAGAGGTCAGCTGTGGGCGCCACGTGGCCGGGGTGTCCGGCACGCTCCGAAGCCCAAATCATCATCACCGCCCTGTCCCAGGTGTGGTACATGCAGCGGATCAGCGCCCCCTCGCACCTGCCGGGCCTCTGTCTGCGCTGCCGGCTGCTGCTGGACCGCGGCGCGCCGGCCGACGACTGGCGGGACGTCACCTGGACCAGCGTGCTCGTCCGCTGCCTCTGGGACAACCCCAAGCTGCACGACGAGGTGGGACGCCGGGTCGCAGAGTCCGGAAGGCGTGTGGCCAGCTGGACCCACGCTCTGTCGCACCAAACGGGCGCGCGTCCGTCAGGGGCTTCTCGTGCCAAAGGGCGCGTGGATGATGGCTGTAAGATCCGTTTTAATCGTGCTTTTCACCTTGATAACTTATACGGATGAACGGTGTCAAGTAACCGCACACGGTAATGCCGATGACACCTTAATTCGTCGTTAAACCATCCAAAATTTTAGAGCGCACAAACAGTTGACTCTCAGCAATATTGGTGTGAACGGACGGCGTGTTCCCCCTTGCCGGCACCGGTCGGCGGAGCGTCGCGGGACGGCCGCTCTGTGAGCGGTCGGTGTGACGTGGCAGCCTGCCGCCGTCACGCGACGGTGACGTATGCTGCGCTTGGCCTCAGATCGTGCAGCCGATGTACGTGCAGTGGAAGGAGAACCCGCTGCGCTCGCCGCTGTTCGACGCCCTCGTCACCGACGACGTCGCCCGTCTCCAAGACGTGAGTCGTGGCGGGAGTTCTCGGCCGCTGGGTCGCCGCCGATCGGGCCCGCGAGCTGCGGTGGGGCAGAGCACGACGGTCGATCCGGGAATACAGACGGGCCTTTCCTGTGCCCGTTCTGTCTATATACATGAGTCTTAACGAGTACGGCATTGCGCACGTGTGTTTTTGCATACTATTATTTTGATGTCAAAGTCAGTATTAGTCCTGGGTTCCCGTCGGTGGCCATTAGATTACGTTGATTTGCAAATTTCTAGATGCGTTTATATGTTCGCCGAATGCGTGCGTTGCACTTCGTCGTAGTGCGGCATGTCGACGCACACTGTCGTGCGAGCTGTGGCTCCCGCTCTCCCGAACTCAGCCCTCCCCGCCTATCGTCTCTCGCGTCTGAAATGGTCCTGTTCTGGGCGGTCCTCCGCGCGACGGCCGCGCGCGCGCCGCCCACCCGTGCGCCCGGCTGACGCGCCGTCCGTCCGCCGTCAGCACGATGCAGGCGGTGCTCTCGTGCGTCCAGTGCACCACGCTGGACGCGGCGCTCAGCACGCTCAGCGCCAACATCGGCGCGCGCCGCATGCGCGACAAGCACTTCTCCACCTACCGGGACATCATGTTCCTGGCGTTCTCGGCGCTCGGCCGAGAGAACATCGACCTCAGTGAGTCGGGGCCGCTGCCGGCCCGCTCCTGACCGCCTCAGACCGTGCCATGTCGGCTTTTGGGCGTAGCATTGACCAGGATCGCTCGATGCCATGAAATAGTGTAAAGCAATGCCTTAATTGGTTGTGAATGGTGGATGATGGCGAGCTATCAAAGGCGTTATCTAGCCTTAACGTAATTTATGACCGTGTTTACGTTGCTTTAACCGCCTGTGACCGGCGGCTTTGTTTTGCGTCAGACGATACCGGAGCAGATGTCACGGCCTCCCCTGACTTGGAGCTGTGCCGCTGGGATCCCGCTGTAACCGCGTCCCGCCCGCCCGTGTTGCAGCGTTGTACGACCGGGAGTACCGGCGCGCATACGAGGAACTCACGTCGGCGGACCTGCAGCACCTCAACGAGGCAGACCGGCCGCCGGCCGTCGCCGCGCTCCTTTGTCGCCGCTTCTTCCGCGAGCTCGAGGCGTGAGCTCCCGGAGGCGTGAGCTCCCCTCAGCCGTGAGCTCCCGGAGGCGTGAGCTCCCCTCAGACGGGAGCTCACCTCGAGACATGTGCTCTCGCTCAAGAGCTCGCGCCTCGTGAGCCCGGGAAGTGAACCCTCGAGGTGTGGCCGCCCAGCTCTCGCCGGAGGCGCGGGGGCCTCCTGCGCTCACCCGAGACGTGAGCAGGCCGTCCGTCGGTGAGCGGCGAGCTGGGCGCGAGGCAGCGCCGTGATCTGGCCGCAGGACGAGGCCGTCCACCTGAGCGTGTTCGGCGCGTCGTTAGTGCGTAGTTAGCCCGTCTCTTTCGCCGTTGATTGCCGCCGTTGCGTGTTTGCGGTGTGAAGCCGTCGCCCCGCGGCGGCACGCGGTAGCCGCGGCCGGCCGGCGGGGCGCCGGTGTCGAGTGCCACTCGCGGACCGCGCCGCGCCGGCCGGGCTCGCGGCTCGCGGCCGGCGGCGCGGTGCGGTGGTCCAGCCCGTCGCCGGCGCGCGCCTGCCGTGTCGGTTGTCGGACGGGCGGGCGCCGCCACACTGAGTTTCCGTGTAGTGAGCTTATCATATCAGCCTGGTGGCGCGGGTGGACACGTTCCGGCCGGCGATGAGCGGCCTTGGACGGGCGGAGGTCGGACAGACATCGCCTCGCCCGTCTCGCTCAAGCAGCTGCACGCGTCCGCCGAGAGCCGACCGTTGCCGGCGGCGCTCGCGGTTCGGCCGCTATATTCCATGTTGACACGATGCTAGTCTTCAGGTGATAAGCGCGGGGTGCTGCAGCCTATTTTTGGGACAGTTTCTTATGTGGCCGGCGGTGGGTGTGCGGGCGCTTTACTTTTCGAGGCTTTGATATTAGCGACTTCGGTGTGTCGGCTCGGGGCGGCGCGCGCGCGCGCCATCGCCGCTGGTGTCAGCTGGGGCGGGCTGGCGCGGCCCGCTCAGTCTTCCACGCGTGTGCCCCCCCCCCCCCCCCTCTCCCGACCATGCCCGGGACGGTCGGTTGCGCTGGCTCTGGCCGCGAGGTGCCGTCCGTCGTTAGCTGGCGGTCGGCGCGAGCTGGCGCGGTCTCCGGCGCTGGCGGGGAGCGCGGCTGGGAGGAGGCCGACCGCCCAGCAGAGCCGACGCTGCCCAGACGCCAGGACGCTCTGTCATGCCCCTCCCCCTCCCCCGCCGCGGCCGCGGTAGTGTTCGCCGACGTGTTCGGGTGTGTTGACCGGTGTGTTCTGAACTCGGGTGCCCGTCGGACGAGAGCGCGGGAGCCGGCCGCCTGGCTGCGGGTGTGGTCCGGGCAGCGCCGCTGCTGCCGCGCGCCCGGCACCGTGTCGTGCCAGACGGCTCGGCGCTGGGCGTGGCCTGCCAGAGGCGCGGTGTGGTGGCGCGCGCCGCTAGAGGGCTACGCTCCGGCTGGCGGTGTTCATTTTCTAGTGGCAGCCTTTCTACCGGTGAGATATGGTGCAGTTATGGGCGGCTGTTTGGTTTGTACATGTTCAGTGTTCATGTATCATGCCAGCACAATGTAAGCTTAGTTAACCTCTACTGCAGCACCGAATATACAGATTGACATAACGAAGAAGAGTGTCTTCAGGTCTAAGCTGTGAAACTAGCTGCACATCTGAACAAACAGTTTTCCCCGTCATGAAATTATCGGCGACAAAATGCGAATCGGGAACATGGCAGAAATTGCGCTGGTCGGCAGCAAACAAGAGGGTGACGCCGTTGAGCCTGACTTCACCATCCACGAGCGCAGGCCATCTGAGGCCCGAGTTCGTCATCCACGAACGCAAGTCGATTTACGCCCCAATTCACCACCCACGAACGCAGGTCACCTGAAGCCTGAGTTCGTCATCCACGAGCGCAGGTCATCTGAAGCCCGAGTTCATCACCCAGGAACGCAAGTCGTCCTCCTCCCCAATTCACCATCCACGAGCGCAGGCCATCTGAAGCCCGAGTTCGTCGTCCACGAACGCAGGTCGTCTTCCTCCCCAAGTCACCACCCACGAGCATTCACCTTCTGAAGCCCGGTCACCTGCAGAAGTGCTACTGGTCTGCTCGCGTCAGTCATTGGTCTTCCGACCTGCCGGTCCTCCGAAGGCGTTCGACGTCAGCGTCCACAACACTAACAGACACAAAAAACGTCCGCTCGAACACGTACCCGCCGATCTGTGTCGCGTATTGACTGCACCGAGTGCCCTGGTTCTTCTGAACGGGCTCTGCTGCTCGGTTACTGTCCATGATCTCGATCACAGACCGAGCCGTGTGGCGGCCCGCCGGCGGCGCTAGGGCCGGCTCCGTCCAGTGACAGCTGACCGAAATCAGGGCGGCGCCTGCCGGCCGGTCGGCGCGGACCCCAAGGCCGTGTGGATCAACAGCCCATGCGTCCGGCGTGCTCAGACCGCGAACAGAGGCTGGTGAATCGGTGATGGAATCAGATTCGCGATGGACCCTGGGTAAAGCCACAGCGGAGTCCAAAGTCTGACAAGCTTTTAACTGAGCTGGGATTGCTTCGTTTGAAAATTGGTGGGAGTCGTAACAGTTGACTCAGTGGTTTGGTCAACCCATCAACGATGCTGGAGTAGTCTATTTATCTGCTTCATTATGGATGTGTAAAACGTGTGTCCATCGGTATCTTTCCGACGCCTCGTCTTACTCGCTGGAATGGCCAAAATGTTAGCGAATGTCGCCGGTCAAAGTCGGGTAGGTGATCCGAGAATTCGTGACCGTAGAGATTTTCCTAAGTTGTTGGAGAGGCACGGCCGTCGAGCCGCCCGTCTCTTGTATTGCGCGGTTTCCTCTCTCATCCCGGCTATCCGCATCCGGCTTCCCGCCCCAACACGGACCTCACCATAGACGGATCAGGGTCACGTGACGGCAGACGACGCACTGACGTCAGTTGGCAGCCTCCAGCAGAGCAGTCGGCGTCGGTCGGATCATACCACAGTAACAGAAGTCAGCTGATGATCGATACGATGTCCTGACATTCCCGATCGGGCCGGATCGGATCGTACCGGATCGGATCGGATCGGATCGGCTTGGACGGACCGGTTCGGCGACCTCAGTCAGGCTCTCTGGTGACCGGCCGCCGCCGCCGCCGTTTAGTCCTTGTGCACGGCGATCATGACCTTGATGCCGCGTCCCTCGAGCGCCGTCTGGAAGGCCTGCTCGCTCTGCTCCAGGCTGAAGCGGTGGGTGACGAGCGGGTCCAACCGAACCCGGCCCGACGCCACCAGGTCCAGCGCCGCCTGGTAACTGGGGGCAAGTCAGGTCAGGTCAGGTCAGACAGCGCCGGCTGCAGCTGAGCAAGCTTCTGGGTTACTCAGATGCGGCGAGTGGCGGCTTGTAGGATCACAACAAAGAGTCTGTACTAAACTTAAATTGTTGGCACCCTGGAGCCGATCATGTCCGTCGCAACAATTTCACGATAGAGCTTCCCCTTCCTACTCTCGACGATTTGTGACGCCAGTCACAGTCACAGCCGACAGCGACAGAACGTGGAACTCAGACCAAGTGATTGCCACAGCGTGGACACGCAGAGAGTACAAGGTCTCTGCAGAGCCACGAGTGGGCGCTACATGTCCGCGCGGTCGAAGCTTCTGAAAACCCTACTTTCTGCAACGGAGTAGCGAGAGCGAAATATACTTTTTGACTGAACGCTGCCCACGCCATCGCAAAACCAGTGACACGCGCCCCAATAACACTGCACAACACCCCGACAACACTATGCAACAGCCCGACAACACTATACAATACCCAGACAACACTGTACAACAGCCGGACAACACTGCATAACACCAGTGATACACTCACGTCCCGACAACACTGCACAACACAACTCTGGAGTTGGACTAGTGACACACGCCCCGACGGCACTGCGCAAGGCAACTCTGGAGTGGGGAAACGAGTGCAAAAGTTGCCCACGCGGCCGAGTGGGGTCCGTCCTTACCTCCCGCCGTACTGATGCCCTCCCCCCCCCCCCCCCCCCACCCGTGGGTATGTCTCACCAGTTGGCGTAGCGGAAGATGCCGCAGATGTCCAGCTCCTTTGGCCGTGAGCTGGACAATGGGGCAGCAGTGACGTCCGCAAGGACCGCGACCCACCTGCTCACCCATTCCCGGGCACGGGGCGCCGCCGCCTGACAACCGAGCCAACACACCGTCACCAGCCGGGCACGGGGCGCCGCCGCCTGATAACCGAGCCAACACACCGTCACCAGCCGGGCACGGGGCGCCGCCGCCTGATAACCGAGCCGACACACCGTCATTAGCCGGGCACTAGGGGCCGCCAGCCGCCTGATACCCGAGACAACACACCGTCACCAGCCGGGCACGGGGCGCCGCCGCCGATGATAACGAGCCGATCACACCGTCGCCAGCCCAGGCACGGTGCGCCTGCCCGGCCCTGACAACCGAGGAACAACACACCGTCATTGTAGCCGGGCACGGGGCGCCGCCGCCTGATAACCGAGCCGACACACCGTCGCCCGCCGGGCACGGGGAGCCGCCGCCTGACAACCGAGCCGACACACCGTCGCCAGCCCAGGCCCCCGGGGCTCTCGCGCCTGGACAACTGATGCACAACCACATTGTCCTCCGTAATCGATTGCGAGGATGCATGTGCCTGCAGCATTTAAGCATGCTTAGTTGTGAGATGCGTTTGTAAGGTTTTAGGCCATACTGGGTCACCCCAGCTGAAGATTCTGGCGTTAGCAGTAGTGCTTTTTAGCCCTGTCACCTTGTCTGTTACGGCAGTTCTTGTAAAGAATAGCCATTCGGATGCCTGACCTCGATAGCCATTCTGATGCTGGATGCAGCACCGCAACACTCGATGATGGCGGACGGCCGACCGCCCAGTGCTGCCACCACGCGGTCGGCGATCTCAGCCTCAGACGCGTCGTCAATGAGAACCGTCCCGTTGGCGCCCTGGCCGGCGGCGAACTCCAGGCGGGACTTGGATATATCTGAGAAAAAGGAGGAACGTGGAAACGTTGCCGAGTTCAACGCCTTTTACGCATAATACTTGAGCGATTTGAAGCACGTGCCGACGTCGGCTGGTGCAGGATATGCCACAGGATGGCGTGAAGCTCGAAACCGCGAACAAAACGCCGCAACGGGCATCAGTTAGCTGGCACGCTTCAGATTTCATGAATCCTGCTGTCCTAAATGACGTATGGGTACGACAAGCGTAATCATCACATAAGCACTACCGTAATCCCCGTTAGGCCTCCGGACCTTCCCCGCAGGTCAGGCCTCCGGACCTTCCCCGCATGTCAGGCCTCCGGACCTTCCCGCCCCGCAGTCAACGACTCATCGTGAAGCCCAACTGTAACATCAAATGCCGCACATCCCCAGCGCCTCGGGTCTCGTCCGCAGGGGGGGGGGGGGCGGTACTGACCCGTGACGCAGGCGCTGGCGGCGCCCAGGGCACGAGCCGTGAGCAGACTGACGACACCGATCGGGCCGGCGCCGCAGACCAGCACGCGCGAGCCGAGGCTGACGCCGGCCCGCTGGCAGCTGTACACGGCCACCGTCAGCGGCTCCAGCATAGCGCCCTCCTCCATCGTCACGTGATCCGGCAGCCTGTGACGTCAGAGCGCGGGTCAGCGACTTCAGTATGGCGCCCCCTCCATCGTCACGTGGTCCGGCAGCCTGTGACGTCAGAGCGCGGGCAACGAATCAGAAGGTGAAAATAGCGCTACAGCAGCTGAGCCCTCCAGAGAGATCGTTTCTCTGAACAGGAGTAATTTAGAGGTGGTGGTCATCTCCGTCATCACGGTGCCGAGCGCGGTCTGCTGCTACGCGCCGCTGCGGCGCCTCACTTGAAGCAGAAGTCGGCCGGGTGCCGGTACAGCCGGGTCAGCGTGCCGTCCACTGGAGGCGTGGCGCAGAACTCGACCTCCGGACACACGTTGTAGCGGCCGGTCTTGCAGAGCAGACAGCTACGGCACGGCACCCCCGGCTCGATGGCCACCCGGTCCCCTGCGGCAGAACGGGTCATGACACGGGCGCGGGTCATGTCACGGGACACAGGTCATGTCACGGGTGCGAGTCATGACACGGGGCGCGGGTCATGTCACGGGGCACGGGTCATGTCACGGGTGCTAGTCATGACACGGGGCACGGGTCATGTCACGGGTGCGAGTCATGACACGGGGCACGGGTCATGACACGAAATATGGGTCATGTCAAGGGGTACGGATCATGACACGGAGTGTGGTGACGTTACGCGAGCAGCCCGCTCACGCACTGGTCGTAGTTGACTGTGTAAGTCGAGCACAAACAATCAGATGCAACCATGAGGGCTCTCCGATTCGTAAACGGAATGCTCCCAGTATGCCCTAGCCCTCGGTACAAGCAACGCCGTCTCACTACCCAACCCTCGCGAACGCAGTCAATTCCGCTGAGCGGCGCCAGCACCAGTCACCACTGCCGGCTCCGGCAGTGGTCACTCACCGGGTTGCAGGTGGTGCACCTGGTGCCCGACGCGCACCACGGTGCCGGCCGCCTCGTGGCCGAGCACCATTGGCGCGCGCACCACGAAGCGGGTGGTGCGGCCGCGGTGCCAATAGTGCACATCGGAGCCGCAGATGCCGACGCTGTGGATCCGAACCAGCACGTCTGCCGACGGGGCGCCGAGGTCACGGGGGGGGGGGGTGGATAACGCGGGGCCAGGCGCCGAGGTCAGGGTGGGGGTAACACAGGGCTTGGCTCCGAGATCAGAGTTGGGGGCAACGCGGGGCTAGACACCGAGGTCAGGGTGGGGAGTAACGCGAGGCCAGGCGCCGAGGTCAGGATGGGGGGGGGCACCGCGGGGCCAGGCACCGAGGTCAGGATGGGGGGGGGGGCACCGCGGGGCCAGGCGCCGAGGTCAGGAGGGAGCACCGCGGGCCAGGCGCCGAGGTCAGGATGGGGGCACCGCGGGGCCAGGCGCCGAAGTCGGGGGGGGGCACCGTGGGGCCAGGCGCCGAGGTCAGGATGGGGGGGGGGCACCGGGGCCAGGCGCCGAGGTCAGGGTGGGGGGCACGTGGGGCCAGGCGCCGAGGTCAGGGTGGGGGGGGGGCACCGCGGGGCCAGGCGCCGAGGTCAGGGTGGGGACACCGTGGGCCAGGCGCCGAGGTCAGGGTGGGGGGGGGGCACCACGGGGCCAGGCGCCGAGGTCAGGGTGGGGACACCGTGGGGCCAGGCGCCGAGGTCAGGGTGGTGGGGGGGGGGCACCGCGGGGCCAGGCGCCGAGGTCGAGGATGGGAAGCCACCGCGGGGGCCAGGCGCCGAAGTCAGGGTGGGGGGCAGCGCGGGGCCAGGCGCCGAGGGTCAGGATTGGGGGGGGGCACCGCCGGGGCCAGGCGCCGAGGTCAGGAGGGAGCACCGCTGGGGCCAGGCGCCGCGAACGGCAGGGTGGGGACACCGCGGGGCCAGGCGCCGAGGTCAGGGTGGGGGGGGGGGGCAGCGCGGGGCCAGGCGCCGAGGTCAGGATGGGGGCACCGCGGGGCCAGGCGCCGAGGTCAGGATGGGGGCACCGCGGGGCCAGGCGCCGAAGTCAGGGTGGGGGCAGCGCGGGGCCAGGCGCCGAGGTCAGGATGGGGACACCGTGGGGCCAGGCGCCGAGGTCAGGGTGGGGACACCGTGGGGCCAGGCGCCGAGGTCAGGGTGGGGACACCGCGGGGCCAGGCGCTGAGGTCAGGGTGGGGAGGGGCACCGCGGGGCCAGGCACCGAGGTCAGGATGGGGGGGGGGGCACCGCGGGGCCAGGCGCCGAGGTCAGGGTGGGGACACCGTGGGGCCAAGCTGCCACAGGCTGGGCAGCTCGGGAAGGGGAGCCTGGCACAGGAAGGGTGGGCTGGGGTGGAGCGGGGCCAGGGGCGGGGCCAGGGTGGCGAGAACTGAGGTCGAGGACGGCTCCGGTGGGACCAAACCTAAGCCGAGCTGGCTGGGGAGCGGTCAGAGGGACTCGAGGCTGGGTCAAACTGGGTGGGCCAGACCGCGACCAGGTCAGACTGGGCAACGTCAGATTGAGCAAGTCGGGAATGGGCTGTCCGGACCGGCTCAGGCTGACCCATACTTAACGAATGGCTGAGATAAAGCGCCAGCTTATGTTATCCTTACCGAAATCCCCTGTCCTAGATCAAACGGACAAGACTGCGCCCGGTGCTGGAGCGCTGACACATTACGTCCCTCGCGATTGGCGATGCCCCATGGAGAAAGCGTGTAGTATTTCTGATCATTGGCTACTGACACATGCGATGCAATCAGACACATATATTACACATCCGGTAGAGTAAAACAATCCTAGAAGCATAACGCGCTGTCAAAAGCAGTGCCTCACTGAACTGAAAGTTGGCGCTCCAACCAGTACGAGTGAGCAAAGTCAAAAGAATAAGCCTTTTCAAGCGTAGAAAGGCATAAAAAGCTGACGTCATACACTTTGCTCCCCTGGCTAGCGGGCAGACGTGTCAACGGCCAGACCACGTGACAGCCGAGCGCACTGGCAGTGGCCCGGTGGCAAGGCCCGCGGCGAATGCAGAACACTGGCAGGCGGCAGACGCCTGGCTTCTCACCCTGCGGTCCGACCTCCGGCGGCGTGCGCTGCTCCAGTCGCAGGTCCTGCGCCTTGTACAGCACGGCCGACAGGTTGTCCTCCGCGGCGGCGGTCATGTCGTCAGCCTGCCGTCCGCCCGCACGCCGCGCCGGCCCCTCTCGCGGCTCCGTGCCGACAGGGCCGGACCCGGCCGTCGTGACCTCCGCCAGCTGATCGGCATTCGGATCCGGCCGGGCTGACAGACGGGCGCCAGGCGCGTGGCGCGACTGCTAATGGGCACTCGGCAGGGACGGCCGGCCGTCTGTTTGGCGGCCGCCAGAGGCGGACGGTCGGCCACTGGCGAGCACCAGATATCTCTTGTTTGCGTTTCGTTGACTCGTTTCCACCACAGACATCGTCCCGTGGTCGTTTCAACGCGGCTTTGACATTTTGGAGCTGAGAACAGGCCCACTGTCTGGCAAGTTTAAATGCAAAACGTGCCTCGCTACATGTGGTATTTCATTTCTTGTGCAAGTCGAAAGCTATCAATTTCACTCTGACGGACGCGCTGATGTCTACTGCCTGGGGCTCGCTGTTGACAGTGACACACTTACGCTCACATAAATCGGTCCGACTACTGAGCGGATCTGCTTACGCGGCAGGTCTTTACAAAATGCGTCGTCTTGCGTCAGCCGATGGGATTCGCCACCTTGTCACTGCTACATCAGTGTTCTTGTGGTCTGGTAAGGGGTACCAGCAGCAGCTGGCGCGATGTGCCGGGCAGACGTCCGATCCCGATCAAATGGTGTTTGAGCGAGACCACCTTCCTGACGAACATGATCGAAACAACCCTCTGCACTCTGCACAGATGAATAGTGGGTGTCGGTTGAGTATCATGGCCATGCACGGCCACAAGGCTCAAGGCTGTGATCTCAAGCTCTAATCCCCCCCCCCCAAATCAATACCGAGATCAAAGCGCTTCTATCCTTCCGTCCTGGTCGATCTTGAGGGCAACTTGGACACTCGGCTTGAAACTTCCGGTCACAGGTTTCTGAAGTTCAAGCACGTTACTCCACCGGATAACTCAGTTGAAATGTTACAGCGCATCAGCCAGCATAACGATGTTATCAACGATCTGTCGGACGATAATTGCGAGCCTCGCCACGCACTATAAGATATGATGCATCTTCTCGTCTGCTTCACTTAGTCAACCGCTTCATCAGACACCTGAGGGCTGCAAGTCCAGCATGGTTGCGATCTAAACACAGCAGTCCGTCTAAGAGCGAAGCCACGCAAGACCAAATAACGAAATCGACGGGGGGCTGACCGGGCAAATGGACAACCCACCACACGCCCGCACCACGGATATCCTTCTGCCACATCAGCGAATTTCGCTAAGCGGTCGTCAGAGTCAGACGCGGACTGCATCGTTGCACTTTATTCAATATACACGGTTAGAAAATCGCGCACCACGGCGCGCGCAGCCCGCCGTCGCCACGCGCCCGTCCAACAGACACAGGGGGACACGGAGAGACAGAGAGACCCGTCCTACTCGGTACACAGCGGGTCATATCACAGAGTGGCAGCCCCGGGGGACCGTGACCTTGTGACGTTCACCGGGACGCGGCGCGGCACAGTCGGGCGCCGCGCCGCTTCGGCGCCGCGCGCAAACGCGACATGAGCAATGGTGTCGAGTACTCGCGTGCGGCGGCGGCGACGGCGGCGGCCGGTGATCCGCACCCGGCCGGCGGCAGGACGCCGCGCCGGCCGACACGGGGAGTGGCGCCGGCGCCGGCGCGGGATCGCCTCGGCGAGTGTCCCCCCCGCCGCCGACACGACCAACAGGGAACAAAACGATACACAGGCGTACATTTTGATCAGAATGCTTGAATCAATGACTAGCTTTCTCTCAAAATACTGGACACTAGAGAGCCCGCAGTCTATCCGGGGCCAGCCGGCCGGCGGGCGACGCGGGCCGCAGCGCCACTCGGCTGGCCCGACCTCAGGTCAGCGGCGCCGCCGCGCCCGCCGGCCACGCCCCCCCCCCCCCCCCCCGTCCAGCCACCACACAGACGCGCAACAGAATCCGAAGGTACAAATTATGTCGGGGAGCGGACAGACACCGGCCGTCCGACCGGCGGCGGGCGCCAGGCGACGGCGCCAGAAGACGGGCGAGCCGGCGGCGGCGCAACGTCACAATGGCACATTTCACGAGGTAACCGGCGCCGCGGGTGTTTGAACTTGTTCTCTTGAGGTTGACGCGGCCGGCGCCGGCCGCAGCGCCGGCAGACGCCCGCTACGGCTGGCTGAACATCGGTTGATGCGGCTGGTGCGGGAACGGCCGGCGGTGCGGCTCGGGCGTGTAGAAGACGCGCCCGAACCTGTCCAGCGGCGGCCGGCCGCTGGAACTGGACACGGCGCCGCGTCAGCACGCATCGCGCAGATCAGCGCCGCCGCTCACACATGCTGAGCGCATCAAGCAGGCGGGAGATGCACAAACTGACGACGCAGTCCCGACGCTGACATCGGTATTTGACGCACGTTGTGGCGGGCACAATCAATACTAGCGCTGCATTCTGAAATCAGCCTCGAAAACGGCCCGGCACTGCACCACGCGGACGCCCCTGCAGCCACCACACAGACAAAGCCCTCCCGAGAACAGTGATGAGTCCTGTGGACAGTGCAGCGCGCCGGCCGCTGACTGGTTCGGCTCGGGGCCGGCGTGACGCACCCGTGTGACTGAGCGGCGACGGCGTTTGGCACGGAGTTGGAGCCGGAGCCGCGGAACGCCTCCTGGCGCCGCGTCATCAGCGGCGACGCCATCAGCGAGGACGAGTGGATCCTGCGAACGGCGGCGACGCCAGCGTCACTGTCGGCTCCGACCGGCACCGCGCCCGACCCGGCCGACCGGCCAGCGGTCCCGGCCCGACCCGGCCGACCGGCCAGCGGTCCCGGCCCCGGCCCGACCCGTGCCGGCCGCGCGGGCTGACACAGCACACCGCTGTTGGCCGTTCGAGCTCTCCGGGCCGCCGGGGCTGTGCGACCGCAGCACAGCGGGTGGTCCGTGCGGCTCGGCGAACACGTCACTGGCTCAGTTCTGGTTCGCCACGCGACCAAGCTGGCGTTAGGCGTCGCAAAACAAAGCGGAGCGCGGAAGCGGACCAACGCGAGACGGTGTTGCCTAAAGACGGCTGGGATGCCGCGATCAGGCGACAGGAGAAGCGAATGATTTGAGTCCAGCCCACTCCTGACAGACATCCGTCTACAGACGTCATGACACGCGATTACGCCTTTTTAAAAATAGTTTCGCATGCATGATAGACGTTCACGTTCCTTTACACCCCACCCGCATGCCCACAAGTTTCCCACAACAAGGAGCGCCAGTGACATGGAACCACCCACGCAGACGGATCCACTTCCGACTAGCCGTCTATTTCCTGCCGCCCGCCCCGGCCCGGCCGACACGTCATGCCGCTGCGCTGCAGCGCCGCTGGCCGGCCCACTCACCTCTGCTGCCCGTCAGGGCATGCGTTCAGCCCCAAAAAGCTGTACAGGCCCGAGCGCTCGGAGAATCGGCCGCGGGGTGCCCACGGCTCGGGCACAAACCTGCCCGTGCAGCGGAGGGCGCCGTCAGTCGGCGCACGGAGCGGCGCGGCCAGGCGGCATGCAGCCAGAAGCGACACGCTCGCGCAACGCACACACGCACACAGAGAAAGGGGCCACGCCTTCACGAGTGCCAGGCGGCCGATGCGGGCCTTGACGCGGGCCTCTGACGGGACGGCGCCACCAATAGAAACAGGTGAAAGCTTGAGGAGCCCGCGGAGATCATGGTGGAGCTGATCCAGAGCCGTCAAGCATAGAACAAATGCAGCGAAAATGTCAGCAAGAGTAGTCGCACTAGACCCCACTAACATAGCCCGTATTTCAGGTGGCCACATCTACGCCCTGCCCCGTGGAGGCGCGGTCCTGGGGCACACGGACAGCATGACAGCAGCGGCGGCGGCGGCGGCGGCTCTCTGCCGCGCTGTGGTTAGAGTCACACAAGACGGCAGCGCGCTGGCGACTACGGCAAGCGCCGACGGCTCTCTGTCAGGTGCATGGGTTAGACCGACCACGGGCCGGCCGAAGCTGAGGCTCGCCGCCACTGTCCACAGGCGGGTGTCGCTGGAGCGCGGCCACAGCGCGGTCTCTGACGACGTCCGTCGGCAAATAATGACGATTTGGATCATCAAGGACCAAAAACTGGACAAGGGACAGTACATTCTGAACACAAACGGGGATTTCGCTAATCGGTTGGTTGTCCGTTTCATGGTATCGCATGTCTTGTGCAGGGACCGATCATGGAAATCATGGTCGATGGTTCAGTAGCAGCGCAGGTGACGTTGACCCAGCTGGGTTTTAGCCCAACGTCATATATGACGTGACATATACGGCCAACTGAGGTTTTCTCGCTTTCCCGTTGCAAACCGAGCAACTTATACTACTGCTTATCAAAGAACAGTCGAACACCGCTGCACACACATTCTTCTCATTTGCTTCTACTACAACGCTAGATCGGATATATGCCACGATCGAACAAGCCTACAATTTGCATACAATACTCTACAGGAATTGGAGAGAAGTGCCCGCAATCATCCTATGAAATCGATCAAACACTTGGCCACGCCCAGGGAGGACGTACCAGCTCGTCTCTCTCTCATCGCTCTCTTCTCTCTCTCTCCTCTCTCTTCTCTCTCTCCTCTCCTCTCTCTCTCTCTCTCTCTTCCCTCTCTCTCTCTCTCTCTCCTCTCTCTCTCTTTCTTCTCTCCTCGTCTCTCTTCTCTCTCTCTATCTCTTCTCTCTCTCTTATCTCTCTCTCTCTCTCTCTCTCTTCTCTCTCTCTCTCTCTCTCTCTCCTCTCTCTTCTTCTCTCTCTCTCTCTCTCTCTCTCTCTCTCCTCTTCTCTCTCTCTCTCTCTCTCTCTCTCTCTCTCTCTCTCTTCTCTCTCTCTCTCTCTCTCTCTTCTCTCTCTCTCTTCTCTCTCTCTCTCTCTCTCCTCTCTCTCTCTCTCTCTCCTCTCTCTCTCTCTCTCTCTCTCTCTTCTCTCTCTCTCTCTCTCTCTCTCTCTCTCTCTCTCTCCTCTCTCTCTCTCCTCTCTCTCTCTCTCTCTCTCTCTCTCTCTCTCTCCTC